CATTGTGTTGTTTAAGTGTTCCCTTTATTTTTTTGAGCGGTGTATATTTCCAACCCAATTGTTAGGTGACTATCAATTCCTAACAACTACCAACCAGCCTTCAATCAAGGTCCTATATACTGCATGAGTCAAAAAGAGGGCTGTGAAAATATTTTCAGACCCCTCACGTCCTGGACACAAACTGTTTCAACTGCTTCCCTCAAAATGACACTATAGAGCACTGCACACTAGAACAACTAGACACAAGGACAGTTTTTCCCTGAATGCCATCACTCTGCTAAACAAATAATTCCCTCAACACTGTTCAACTATTACAAAGTCTGCACTACTATTACTGTTAATCTTCTCATCACTCCTTATCACCCATCCCCTCCCACTTATGACTGTAGGACTGTAACTTTGTCGCTTGTATCCTTACAATTTATACTGACTGTTTCCTAGTATGATTTGATTGCTTATTGTACCCTATGACTATCATTAAGTGTTGTATCTGATGATTCTTGACTCTTGACGAATGTATCTTTTCTTTTATGTACAATGAGAGCATTTGCACCAGGACAAATTCCTTGTGTGTCCAATCACACTTGGGCAATAAAGAATTCTACTCTACTCTACTCTACTCTATTCTATTCTATTCTATTCTATTCTATTCTATTCTATTCTATAATTGTTAAGTGAATCACTGCAGTTGTTAAATTATTAACACGGGTATTAAATGAAACTGGTTTTCCCATTGACTGCTTGTCAGAAGGTTGCAACATGTGATCACACTGCAATGGTCATAAATGTTAGTCAGTTTTCAAGTGTCTTAATTTTGTTCATGTGATCATGGGGATGCTACAGTAGTCGTTAGTATGAAAAACAGTCATAAGTCATTTTTTTAATGCCGTTGTAACTTCAAACAACTGTTGTAAGTCGAAAACTATCTGTAATCAGAATAATGTGGGAAATGGCATAAAAATCTACAGTAGAATACCAGTTCTATTTAAACATGCTTGCATTTATCTAGTGATGTTGCTTATTTTGTGGCCCGCTAGTTCTAGAGAAAAAGGATTATAACAGATTGTGCAAATTCTGCTCAACCGTTTCCTTCCTTATCTTTGTCTTCTAATTTTACTTGTGAACACCAACCATTTCCAAACCACTTTAACAATCAAGATGACTGCTTTATTATTTTTAATGGATATATAAAAATATGAATTTGTTTGCAAATTATTTGTAAGTGAAATATGATTGGCTCAAATACTTTCTATCTTTGTAGAATCAGTGCAGATTTGAATGGACTTGTTTATTTTACTTCACCTATTCCTATTTCAAAAATCAAGTTTGCTATGAACTGGATAATATTTTAGCAAGGGCTGTGGAAAAGAAACAAAATGTAAAACAGAAAAAAAAAACAGCATTTTAGACAGAAACTAGAATAAATGTACAGGATGGTATTGTGATTCAAACAACTATTTCTCCAGCTTTTCTTTTTCACTGTTTCCTGTTAAGCCCATCAAGAACAGGAGCATGAGTTTCTTTTCATTAGCTTGCAGAAGCTTAAAATGTGTAATTTACCATTGTCAGTAACATTTGCAATATGGTTCTGTTAATGTTTAGATGTGGTGAAAGCATGCCAGTTAAAAATCTGTGTGCATCACAGAGTTATTGTAATGCAAAAAGTACAAAGGTCTTCTGCAGCTGAGCTCAGAAAACAAATAATTGACTTGCAGCTGCAACTTAGGCAGGATGTAGCAATTCAAAAGGGTCCAGATCCCTAGGGAATATGTTATTTTCTAAGATAGTTACCATATCATTTTCTGAGATACTTATCCAATAGTTTGAACCCTATATAACTTGAGCCAGAGAAAGCCATCTTTGGCCAAAAGTTGCATCTTGCTCTGCTTAAAATTCCAAATCCCCCTCACAAAAAACAGGAACAGAAAAAATGGGTGGGATTGAACATGCATTGCTAATCAAATACTTGTCAGAGGTCTAAAAGGTATAGAAACACTTTAGCAGAAAAAACAGCACATTTTCTTAGATATCTTAGTAACCTTTACTTACTCGCCATCCTGCCCCACTTTTTTCTTAAAATTGAAAATAGTCTATTCTGAAATTACTTTATATATTCTCAAAATAATGTCAATATATTTAATCAAGTAATACAGCTAAGCCTTCTCTCCTTCCCTTCCCAGGCCTTCAATAACCTATATGTGCCCCATAATGCCTTATTTGACACCCCCCTTCTCCCAAGGCACTTGCCACTATTTATCTTTGACTCCGGCATTTTCCTGCTTAACTTCCCAACAGCACCTGGGATTGCCATTGCTAAGCAATATAGTTATGTGATGTCATGCTATATAATCATATCACTGTTGACAATCCAGGTCCCAGTTGCTATCATAATCTGTTGAGGCTTAAGATGTTGAGACTCTAGAAAAAGTACAGAGAAGAGCAACCAGGATGATTAGGGGACTGGGGGCTAAAACATACAACGAACGTTTGCAGGAACTGGGCTTGGCTAGTCTAGTAAAGAGAAGGACCAGGGGAGACATGATAGCAGTCTTCCAATATTTGAGGGGCTGCCACAGAGAGGAAGGGGTCAAGCTATTTTCTAAAGCACCTGTAGGCCAGACAAGGAATAATGGATGGAAACTGAACAAGGAGAGATTTAACCTGGAAATAAGGAGAAACTTTCTGACAGTGAGAACAATCAACCAATGGAACAGCTTGCCCTCGGAAGTTGTGGGAGCGCCATCACTTGAGACTTTCAAGAAGAGATTGGACTGCCATTTGTCAGAAATGGTGTAGGGTCTCCTGCTTGGGTGGGGAGTTGGACTAATGACCTATAAGGTGCCTTCCAACTCTGATTATCTGTTATCTGAGGATTACTGCTAAAATAAAGCATATTTTAATGCCATGTCCCATCTTTACCAAGAAAATCAAGGCAGTATATGTAGACCTTGCCTTTGATTTTTTCCATAACAACTCTGTGGTATAAATTGGGCTGAGAGAGTACAATTGGCCCAAAGATATCCAATGATTTTTCATTATTATTCATCAAATTTATTATGGTCATCCATTCCAAATGACTCTGAGCAGCTTATAATATCCAACTATAGAATTAAAATTGTTAAAAACATGACAGTAAAAAAACATGACAGTAAAAAAACAACTAGCTGTGATCGAGCTTTTTGGTAGTTGCCTCAAACCAAAAAACATTATTTCCAAGCAAGAATCTCTGTTTTCTTTAATAAAATGCATTGAGATGAAAGAATGGGGTTACAAAATTCCAGCAACTGTTGCAATTATTTTCAAATATTTGTACTATTTCCAAATTAGTACTAATACTAAAGCAACCATTTTTAGCTTTTTTCCGCCTTGATCCAGCACAGAGTGGATCTTTTCATTGGTAACAGAGGTCTGCAGTTGGGTGCTCTCAAAATGGTCTTCTGAACTAACCACTGTGGAGGATGGATTTAAACCATATTTTTCCCAACCTCATCAAGGATTACTGTATTTTGAATGGTTACATTATATTTAACCATACTTTTAAAGATTTCTTAAATGTCGCTTGTCTAATCTCTTTCAGGGAAGGAGGGCGGCTAAAGTAAGTTACAGAGCAGATCCAAAAGGCATTTGCTTTTTGTCTACCGTATCCTGGATCACATTTGCTACTGTACATGCAAAAAATTGGATGAAGATCAAATTGAACAGTAGATAATGAGAAAAGTGCAGGCAACAGATGCAGCCTGCTGATATAAATGAAGACTAGAGGTTGTTTAAACAAGCAGATCTTCAATGATACCAAGTTTTAGGAAAGCATTGCAACTGTAGTCCAAGGGAGAACAAGGCACCTAAGGCCACCTGTGGAGGACATCAGCTTGTCCTAGAAAGTGACAGAAAGAGCTCATTCATTCTCTAAGTTTCAGGAAACCAAATAGAGGCAAACTAGGAGCAGGAATGGAAATTTCCCACAAAGAGCTTCTGCCTGCCTGCAAGAGTTTGTGTTTTTCTTTACTCAGCAAGCCAGGCATAAAGAAGAATGAAACTGTCTGAAATATTCTGGCTCAGCTGAGTGGAAATTCAGTCTCAAGGCAGTCAAGCTGTGCTCCTTAAAAAAATTCAGAGAAGAAATTGAAAATGCAGTATAAAAGGGGGAACCTTTCAATCCTCATAACCCTTTGGATTTCCTGAAGCATGACACAAGGTCCTGTCTCAATCCAGAGAAAGATAAAGCAACAACAGACACCCAAGTATGCCTGTTGTTCAGACCCTGCTATCTGGCAGACCCATGGAGGAAGACAATGCAGTTCCCAAGTCATGACTTTGCTCGTTGCCTTGCCTTGCTGCGGGTCAAATTTGCTCAGCATTCCTTCTCAAAGAATCATAAGGTATGGCAAAGCATATACTCTTGTAAAATATTGATGTACCTCGATAAAAATGTTGCCTTTCTTTCTATGGGTTAATGTCATACTGTATGTTGATTCTGATGAGCTAATTAAAGCAATATTCATAGAGTTTGTTGTTTGGCTCTATTCTGTTAATTGTTGCATCAATTCTATGTGTTTTGATTGCTGGTAGTCATCCTGAATCTTCATCAAGGAGCCGTTTCATTTAATCATTGTAATGAATGTTCATTGCTAGCCCAAAGAACTAATTTTGGACAAGAAGGCAGCTTTTTTTGATTTCCAAAACAGGCTGAAACTATCAAACATTCTAGTATCTATATTTGCCATTCCTTGGAAAACTGGACTGCAAGAGCAAACTGAAATAGGTGGTTTGTGATTTATCCCGTGACTCACCACCATTTTCTCTAGCCACAGGATGTCTGTGCCACAGCACAAACATATCTCCACAAGCATGAAGAGGAGGGTCATATTTCTTTGCTGACCTTTGACCAACCCCACCTTTCAAGCTTCTCCCTCCTTCTAGTCTGTCTTTCATTCTAGCTAGTTATAATTCCAGAGAGCAGAACACCACTGCTAGGCTCCTCTGTTTCTGCTGTTGCAAAGATGAATCAGAAAGTTCTTCTCTTCATGCTCTTTCTATCCTTTCTAGCAATTTTTGCTTTCGTATGTATCTTGTTGACCAGAGGCGGAAAATGTGAGAGCTGTGCTTCCCAGTCTCAAGCTTTAACTGAGCATCTAAATAGCAAATGGAGTTGTCTCTTTGCTGATTTATCACAAGAGGAATTAGTCCATGTAGTACAGTATTTGAAATCCAACCTTGGAGCAACCTTGGAAGATGCTTCTCATGCAAAGCCTTCTGATAACTGCATTTACTCTGTTGATTTGGAGTTGCCCTCTAAAGCAGACGCTTTATCATTTTTGGATCATGGAGGAAGATGCCCAGCTAGGCAGGCTTTGGTTGTAGTGTATTTTGGAAATCAGCCAGATCCAAATGTTACTGAATATGTGGTGGGTCCCCTCCCACAACCAATGTATCACCAGGATGTGACAGTGCAAAAATATGGAGGAAAAGTGCCATATTATCGCAGGCCTTCACTGATTGCTGAACACAAGCAGATGGCCCACTTTCTGCAGAGTACATTGTTCCCCACAGCCCCAAGCTTCATGCGTGAAGTATTGAACTACGATGGAGCCAATCTAGCAGCAATGACTACATCGCCAAAGGGAATGAAATCTGGGGATCGGGCAACTTGGTTGATTCTGTACCAGAATGTAACTGGTTACTTTTTACATCCTGTTGGGCTTGAAGTGCTCATAGATCACAGAAGCCTGGATATTACCCATTGGATTGTCAAGAAAGTGTTCTATGGTGATCAATATTATAGGGACATGGCGCAATTGGAAAGAGAATTCACAGAAGGGCATCTGCATGTGGAAAAGGTGAACAGAATTCCAGCTGATGGGGGATTCTCCTCAATGAAACCCAGGGTGCATCATGCCAAACTCCATTCCCTGAATTATGAACTTTTTGGACCACGTTACAGTGTGAAAAACAACCAAGTCCACTCTGCATTGTGGAGTTTTGCCTACCGAATGGATTTGCATAGAGGACCACAACTTTTTGACATTAGGTTCAAAAATGAAAGGGTTGTGTATGAGCTCAGCATGCAAGATGCTATGTCCGTCTATGGCTCCAACAACCCTGGTGGGATGTCTATTAGATACATGGATGGGAGTTTTGGAATTGGAAAGTTCTCGTCTCCTCTTATGCGAGGGCTTGACTGCCCTTATTCTGCTACTTATCTTAATGTTACCTTACTAGCAGAAGTAGAAAGACCTCTTATTACTCGTGATGCTATTTGTGTTTTTGAACAGGATATGGGGGTTCCATTTCGGCGTCATTTTTCCAAACTTCACTCTCTGTATTATGGAGGGCTACAAAGCACAGCATTGGTCTTTCGCTCTGTGTCCACCATTGGTAATTATGACTATATCTGGGACTTTGTATTTTATCCAAATGGAGCCATTGAAAACAAAGTCCGTGCCACTGGTTATATAAGTTCATCTTATCTCCATGATGATGGGCTAGAATATGGAAACAGAGTTGGAGACTACACTCTAGGAACAATTCATACACACTTTGTTGGCTTCAAGGTAGATCTAGATATCGCTGGTAAGTATGCAGATTTTCTGTTTCCATCAAGTACTGTAAATTGTGAATCCTATCTAATTCTAAAGTAGATAGTGCATTTCGATATGTCTTTATCTTTAACAGACATTTGGATGCATTGCTTTATATCCTTTGTGCTATTTAAGCATGCTGGATGAAGACTGGTTTCAAGAGTATCAGCCTCTCTACTTTCCCTGTAGCCTATCAATAATTCACTGTCCTTTTCAGACAGTGCCCAGATTCCTATATATTAGCAAAATCTATAAGTTCAAGCTTTGTACTGTTTATAATTGCAGAGTAAGAAGCAGGCTTCTGCTGAATTGGGGCTAACCTATTCCAGATTACTCATCTTGGCATATTCCTTGACCCTCTGCTTTCAGAAATGATCTCTTGCTGATATATAATGATCTATGATTTGCAACTTGGTTTCCAGGTGATAATGCATTTGTCCTCTGAAGCTGGCCTTCTTTTGAGGTTGTTTTTTTTAATAAGCAGAAGATACAAACATGTTATTGTACATGCAATCCCAGCTGGCAAACCTCAAGTACTTTTTTACTTGAACCTTCTGAGCAAAAAGGCATTATGTCCTTTCAGTCTGATGCCCCAAATTTCAAGTTACCATTCTCAATTAGGTCATTGCAACTTCCTTTTCGACAAGATGTTGTGAAAGAAAGACAGGATGCTTTCCCATCTGTATTCTCTCCCTCTCCTCCTATTATAGCAGTTCAGTGAAAAGCAACCTTATTTTTCAGAAAGTTGCCTTGTATTTACTTGCATGTTTATATTGCTTGTAAGTCATTTTAAAATATTTTTATCTCAAAAGGCAGTTTATAAATAATTGTAATACATAAAGAAACAGAGAATGGAAAACAGCTAATTCAATGTTGTCACTTAAATTGTTTCTCTCTCTAGGAGCTTCCAACCAGAAAACTTACAAGTGTAGGAAACTGATAGTTAGTTAGTTTTGGGAGCAATCATCATCTACCTCTATTCTAGCTTCTAGTCAGGCCACCATTACTAATCCTAGTGTTAATACACATGTTTATATTAAGACATAGCCCTTCATTATTTGGTTATTCAAAATCACAATATGCCATTCTAGTACCAATCATCCTATTATTTAAACATAAATCTTTCCATCTAACTATTGCTTTATATAAGGTGTGTATTCTTATTTCTACTACTATTCTAGTTTTTAATCATTTTGCATCATTATATTAGAAAACGAGAAAAAAATAAAAAATAAAAATAATTCCTTTCTATCCATCATCTCTTGATCGTTTTAATATTTTAATTCTTATTCATTTTTTGACTTGCCTCCCCTACTCCTCTCTTGGATCTTTGTCTCTATCAGCATCTGTGTCTTCACCATTCAGTCTGAATACTTCTCCTGTCTCTATCCTCTTAAGCTGCCAGGTCTCCAGAGTGTCCACCCAACCCCCTATCTCCCTTTCAAAAGAATCTTCCAGGTTATCCGATTCCATTTTTAAATCTCTTAAAGTACTTTCCCCTTTATTTATTTAATCAGTCCTTATTATCTTTATCGTCTTCTTCGCATCTTCTTGCTTTATTTGCTGGTTTGTCTGTTCTATCTTTTCCTCCATTCTTTCTGCTGTCTCCTCTTTCCTGGACTCTTTGATCTTCATTCATTATCAGTTGTAGGATACTGTCTATTCTCCCATTTATGCCTTGCATTAGGTTCTTTATCCCTCTGTGATTCTTGGTCATAGTATCCTTAACGCTTTGAAACATCAATGACATTTCTTTTGAAATCTCACTCATTTCCCCCTGGTGGAGCACCTTGTCTTATTTTAGTAAGTCCTGCTCTTACTCAATAGTCCAAAAACAATATATTCAAGTCTAATGTGGTTCCTCAGAAAGTACATCTCAGCTACTCTTTGGCACAAGTGCAGGGAGAAAATAAGACACTCTTCGCTTCAGTATTTGGTAACACAAAAGCTTATTGTTTATCCCTTCGTCCGCAAGGTCCGAGATAATAGCTAAGCAAACAAAATAAAGTTGGATCTAACCCGAGTTTCCTGGGATTCGATATTTATAGTAATTTCCCCTCATTACCCTTCATTACCCATGATTATCCTTATTACCCATGATTACCATTACTAATGATAATTATTTGTATGAACTCAATCACATGAATCGTGGTTAATGCGTATAGCTTCACCTCACAGCATTTTACGTAGATCGCGCATATTATTATGATACAGAGTTTATTCTGATGAAGAGGAATGCCATACTTCAGGTTGCTGTGGCTTCGATTCAAATGCGTATGTTGTGTAGTCGCGATGGTACATTAATCACAATTATTTACATCTTAGGATTATTCAATCAGTTCCATTTAGGCAGCTTTCCAAAAGTCACTTTACTTAAGAGTCTGCCTTATTCTTACAATAGTCTCCAGTTATCATGAAGTAGATAGTTATAGAACAGTACATATCACCATAGTCCTCCAGATTAATGTTGTTTATTTCTCATCAGAAATTTTCCCAGGTTTATAGGTGTATGATATATGTTTCATTCATCAGTAGGTGGCACCCTCAGCTTAGGTTTCAGTGTTGTTTCAAATCTGACAAATTAATTAATCCAATTTTAATTCAATTTTTGGAAGCAAAGTTGGCTATTCAAGTAGATAGTTCCAGCATTTTATAATGCCTTTCCAAAACAATGCCTACCCAGTTTGAAAGTCCAATTTTTAATTTTTTAAAAAAGTTTTCTCCCCTTAGTTCATTTCTTTTGGGTCTAGGATTTTTCTCCGTATAATTATTCGCTGCTTTAACAAATAGTTCTAAGAGTCTCTTTTCCTGGATTTTCTTTCTTTTTTCCTTTTAAGATTAGGTTCTAGATTAAAAAAGGAATCATCTCACCCAGCTCCAATCACCATTCATCTACACTGTTCCTGCACATTTCTTTAGTGCCTCGGCTGTCCTAGCTTCACAGCAGCCATGGTGGCTGCCTTTTCTCCTTGTTGTGGATGACAGGGAAGAAGGCCTGAGTCAGGTGGAAGAGTTGAGGCTCTCTGCAACCTACAGGGTGCCCCTCTCTTCTTCACCACCCCTACAGGGTGGCTTTAGCTCCTTTCAGAGCCTTCCAACAGGGAGAATTCAGTGCAGGAGTGCGGAGACCCACTCCTCACATCTGATCTCACCACAACATCAACCAGAAGCCTCTCCCTTCCTTTTTTAGAGGGCTGCCCAAATTCATCAGCATACTACATTAAATACAATAGAAATGATACATAAAATCTAAAGGAGCCTTGCCATCCATCCTAACCAAGATCTGGTGGAAAAAACAGGTTTTCAAAAACCTTTTTAAAGCTTTTGAGGATGGAAACTGTATAGATCTGTGGGAGGGTGATGTTCTAGAAGGCAGATGCTCTTCCAGAAAAGACCTGCAGAAAGTTAGAGGAAAGAGATGATGTTTAATTGATAGAACCAGGAGTGTGCCCGCTCTATTTGATGATAGAGGAAGGACAGAAACCATTGGAGATAGGCAGCCCCTCAGACAGGCAAAACCTATGCCATGAAGGGATGTACAGGTAATGACTATCACCTTGAATTACATCCAGAAGCTGTATTGTAGCCAATGCCATTCATGGAGTAGCAATTTTATATGGGCATATTGAGGAATGCCCATCTCTGCTTCCATTGTCGTATTCTGAAGTAATTGCCACTTTTGAGTCCACGTACAAGGTGACTAGGATGGGATTGACTGTTTGGAGGGGGCCCTGGTATAGGAGCAGGTACATATTGGATGAATCTCAGTAAATGTCTTCCTGATTACAGTTGCTGAATATTCTTCAGGCAAGAACTGTGAATCCAGAAAATACCTCAAATTTCATGCCAGTTCTGAATGTGGGTATCTACATCTAGGCTTGAATATGGAAAAAAATCCAGGCCTGGGCAGTGTAACTACTCAGAGACACTTAGTCTTGCTGGGATCGAGCCTGAATCTGTCTTTTCCTATCCAGATCCCTATACCATTTAGACACTAGGATAAGATTTGATAGCATCACTTGGACGGCCCAGACATATATACAACTGGATAGCATTAGTATACTAATGGTACCCGGCCCCAAAGGAATAGATAAACTCATTTAAACAGAGATAGTAAGAGCATCAAACCCTGAGGCATCAATCTAAGCAGAGCAAAGAGGAAAACTGCTGTAGAACAGTGCCTCCATCCTTAATCTCAGCAGATAAAACCAGAAAGTCCATGGTATGATTGGTGGACTGTGAGCCACCGAGAGACTAAGGAGAACCAAAATAGCAGATCTCCCATTTCAGAAGTGATTCAAGGTCTGATCGATGCTGACACCATGCTATGCTCTAGTTTAAAAGTTAATAGCAAAGAATCTAGATAATCTTTTTATTCTGGACCCTCTGAAGCTACAGCTGGGCCACTTTCTAAAAACCTCCCTAAAAGGAGAAACTTGGAGACTGGACAGATGTCTGGAATTTTGGGGCCACAATGACTATGAGGAGGGGACATTCTTACTATTGCACTGGGAATCTTAACATTCTCCATTTCCCTTCTTTCCTCATTAGTTTGAAGTTGCTGCCTCAATACCATTCTTGTTCCAAGCCCGGGCAGAGAGAGTTTAAACTTTTTTCACTTTCATGTTCTAACAAAAAATGTACACCAGCAACTTTAAAAAAAAATGTTTCTGACTTATTATAAACAATTTCATTATTCCAATGCTGTTCAAAGATATTTTCATGATCCTGTGGCCAACATGACATCATAGAATGCTGTTACCTTCTCACTGAAATAATACCTATTTATCTACTCACAGTTGCATTTGAACCCTTCAGAGGGTTAGGGTTATCTCCCCACCCTCAAAGTTTACATTTCCTCAGAATGGGTGGGGAGACAGAACTTTCCCCCCTTTTCAGATGAAGAAAATTATCAAATAAACTAATATTCTGCTCCCCACCCCACATCTGATCCTGCAGTTGGGCTGCTGCTCCCCTCACACACACCCCCAGCGCGATTTTAGGTAAGGAAATACGACATGGGCCAAGGCTGGCAGTCTTAAATCAAGTCGTAAATCAAGGATTGCCGTCAAATTGGAAAACAGTACAGGTCGTCTTCAACTTACGATCATATCATATAGTGACCGTTTAAAGTTGCAGTGCCACTGTTGACCATTTTTCACACTTATGACCATTGCAGTATCCCAATGGTCACGTGACTTACAGTCGAATGAGTAGCAACTGACTTGTATTTATGACAGTCACAGCCTCCTGGGGGGTCATGTGACGTGATCTCCCTTTTGTGACCGTGTGAGAAGCAAAGACGCTGGGGAAGCCAGCTTTGCTTAACCATCGTCTGACTGATTTAAACAACAATCCACTTTATAGCGGTGGCAGGAACCGTTGTAAAATGAGTCCAAGCTCACTGAACAGATGTCTCTCTTAGCAACAAAGATTCGGGGAAGC